CGCTCCGACGTCCCTCTGAGCGTTATTTTTTTAGGATTAACTGCCAAAAGAGCAGCGAGGAAACGCAAGTTCTGCTGACAGTCTGTTTCCTGCAGCATCGATGTTAATGCCATTAGGAGACGGCGGCGCTTCTGGTGATGTGGACCGATGTGCTGGACTAAGCTGTTTCTACGGTGTGATTATCGTCGTGGTGGTGATTTATACGGATGATAACTTCAACGACAGGGATCAGTATCGGAGCTCTTTGTCGCTGCCGATGTCACGTGATGCTTCAAAAAAAAAATCAGAGAGGACTTGTAGGATTTGTCTAGACGGAGAAAAGTTTTTTAAAAAAATGTCCTGAAATTTGTTATAATTTATGTCTATAATGTTTCATATGATCTCGTGAGGTCTTGACTTTATGATGTGAAGTGCCTCGAGATGACATGAATCATGAATTGATGCTATTTAAAGAGAACCGAATTGAATGAAACGTCTTGTGTACCGGTCTTGAATAGTCTTTTGTATTTTCTAACCAGTCGGACACTCAGCAGCTCGTACAGTTTGAGAAACAGAACCATGAGTCGGGAGGTTTATGAGACACCAGAACGCTGCACGGCGGTTTGTGTGAAGTCATCGTGCCTTCGGTCATGTTGGAAAGAGATCCAGCAGGAATGTGCACATGCAGGTTTGTGACTTTGAGTTCCTTGAAGACGTTCCACCTCTCATCCAAGAGGCTTCATCAGCTCTGACTGATGAGTTGGGAGCTCCAGATACTGATGTCCTGAAGGAGACATTAACACCTGAGTTTGGGTTTCAATTAGGGGTTTTTTTACTCCTCCCCCTCGTTATGTGAGTCGTTAGTGCTCCCCCAGACCCAGTGGGGTTCATTAGGGTCTGTTGTGGCTAGGTGTGGATGTGGGTTCATCTTCCTGGGGAGAGACCTTAGGACTGAACTGTAAACAGGTGAGAGGTGATGCGTCAGACCTCCACCTCTGTTGAGGGATGGTCTTTCCAGTTTCACTCCTCTCTCAAACCATCTGTCCTCCCTGCAGGCCAACATCTGTCCGTTGTTGTCTTCAGATGAGTTTCCTTTGTCCTTAAGGTGCAGGTGGACGCTGAGTCCTGTCCTGAGGAGCTTCTGTGCTAAGCCATGGCTTAGATATTTCTGCATTTACTGCAAGTCATCTCATTGTTGCACCACAGAACAATGCTGTTTCACAATGCAGACGTTCCTCATGTCGGGCAGGTTCTGTCCACGCTGTGTTGCCCTGTTAACCTGAAGTCTTCCATGCAGAGCTAGTCACATATAGCTAGTCACTTTGGGGTTGATGTTTTAACTTGAATTCACAATCCTTTATTTCACTAGTTAGCTAAAAGCCTGAATAATAGCCTAATTATTTAGAAAGCTGAGCACACGGAGAGAAAACTAGGAAAAATTCACTAGTATTGACATTAACTGTGCTGCTCCAGGTGTGGTTGGTTTGAAGCAGCAGCAGCCGTGTGGTCCCACCGCTCTGCTGCTAAACTCTCTGATCCTATCACCGCCTTCCATTTTCTACCGTCTCATGCTTCAAAGGTGAAAAGTTCAGCGCGAGCCGAGTCCGTGGCCTCGCAGGTCACGCAATATCAGCAGCGCTCAGACGCGGGAGGCAGAATATCAAAGCCCAAGGTCCGTTATCCGGCAGCATCCATCATGTTAAAGGTCTGCATTGTGGTTTGGCTGCAGAGGCCTGGAGGGCTCGGCGCTAAAAGCCTCCATTCTGCTGACTGAACAGCAGATAAGGCTTCATACGTTCCGCAAATACAGAGCGTGGAGGGGAGAGAGGGAGGGCCGGAGACGCACTGACGCAGGCAGATTGTGGTCGACATAAATCAGCAGCTCTCCTGATGGAAGGAGGCGAGGCTGGAGAGGGATCAATTTTCAGACAGCAGCGTTCGCCTCTCTGGGAAATCCAGAGGGTTCAGGGGAAGATGTACGAGATCCGGTAGAAGTCCTTCATGATGTAATCTTCTTCATCAGAATGTAAATCACCAGCGGAAAAACTGGAATGTATTTTAGAGAAGATAAAACTTGTTTTAATCTTGAAGGAAATTCTTGTGCCGGATGTTGCTCAGAAAAAAAAAGTAGCAGGATGTAAATATGACACAATGCTGAAAAACAGCCAAAATAAAGCTGGAATAAAACAGGAAGTACTGAGGTAAAGAGTAGAATCACATGTAATAATGAGATACTGCTCCTGAACATGTGATGAAAATAAAATATTGCACATTACCTTAATAATGTTGGACATGAAACTAAAGTATTGCACCTGAGTCATGAAAAATATGAATTATTGCACATGAAGTGAAATGGTTTTGATTTAATTAATCGAGAAGATAAAATAATCCTGATCCTGATCTGCAGAAATTTGCAGCAGAAAAGGGGAAAAAAGTCGGGACAACAGTCAGAAAATCAAAAAGCACCGCTGATATTTTACAGATTCTTCCACATGTTGGAATTCAGATGCTGCACAGAAGTCTGTCAATGTGGAAACCAACGATATTGAGCTGTTGTGATGTTAAACGTACTGATGCTGCCCAGATTCTATTGTACGGGGAAAGTGTACAAGATGGTTGAAACGCTCTGATGAGTGAAACAGTTTTTAAATCTTTAGGTGCAAGAAATAACCAGTGATAGAGATTAACGAAACAGACGAAGATTAAAGAACTGAATTTAGCCCAGAATGAAGGTTGTGGTTTGTCGTCCACCACAGGTCTACGTCTGCCCTCGTCTCCTCCCCCAACATCAGCACTCTGATCGGCTCCTATTAGACCAGATCTGCCGTTTTCCTTTTTGAAAGTTGGCAAAAAATCAGAAGGAAAGACCACAACCGCCGACCAGAGCAGTGTCCAGTAACAGAGTTCTGAAACACGATTAAATAACTGATAGTATAAACAATGAATGATGAAGATGACGGTGACAAAAGACGACTCGCTGAGCTTTGGATCAGTGGCATCAGACACCTGATCTGCTGGATCAAGAGGAGGATTTTACACGGTTCTTCATACAAAGCACATGATTGAAAGATTAGTCTTTGGGCTCTGGTAACATGGGGTTAAAATGTTTGACAGTTTTTGGACATTTCAAGACCACTTTAAGGAAAAACCATCACAATGTGTCTCAGTAAGATGCTGGACCTCTATGTGCTGCTTCTTCGTGTTTCTTCCAAGACTGGCTTTTACATGATAAGTCCATGAATTATTTAGCCAGTTAACAAAAAACTAACAATTCTGTCGGTTGCTTTTTTAAATCAAAGTTCCCAAACATTAACTGCAGTCGTGACTCGATAATCCGACACTAAATGTAAAACCTTCTTCTATGTCGGATAGCAAGGCTGTCGGATTGTCAAGACGGAGGTCCAGATACGAGGAGGGCTTGATGCCTGAAGGCTCATTAGTTGTTAACTATTGTTCAGAGTTGTTATAATAACTAGTGTATTGTTAGAACACGATGCATCGCTGGATTTCAGCCGAACTGACCGGTGTGCTTGTGCACGTTCCGGACACTTCCACCCCGGGGCAGCGCTCTGACGGGGTGGAAGTGTCCAGAACACACAGGCAGTACTTGGCTGCTGATGCTAGTTTAGTTAGCGCTCACACTTCTGTTTCCACCATCGGTAGCGGCGGGGGAGTGGCAGATACGCTCCACCGTTACCATCCATGTTTACTTCCATAAACACTGAGCACGCTCGCTGCGTGTGACGTCGTTGTGTCCTCTTCTGTGCATGCAGGACGCTTTTGGGTCGTATGAAGTTCACACAGCAGATCACATACAAGTGGCATTTAACTGGAAATGTAAAGGAACTCACAAAGAAATCCTCATTGAGCATCAAGTCCTGCAGTGTGAACGTAGCCAATCTGTGGGATTGTTCAGTCAGATAATACGCTGTTATCCTGATTTGTGACATAAAATGTCATGTCGGAGTCAGAATCTATGGCTGTCGCTATGTTAAGGCTGTTTTTATGGGTTCTGTTGGTTTTTCCTAAAAACCTGTTGGATAGCAGGTTTAGGATTGTTAAGGGTCGATTATCCAGTCATGACTGTACATGTTTCATCTCAATCGTGAAGATTTGCTGGTTTTCCTACAAAGCAATGTGAAGACATCTGCTCAGACTTTTGGAGACTAAGATGGACATTTTCACCTACTTGGCAGATGTGCAGCTCTAAATTCGTAGGACAGTAACTCGTGTCCAAACCTCTGTCGACGTGGTTTTTCAGAAGAAGACGAGTGTGAACCTGCAGCCTGAAGTGAACTCGTCTTTGAGACGCCCATTAAAAAGCAGCACCTGAGAGACGGAGGAGGTCTCGTCAGCCGTCGACCTCGACGTGGCGACGGGAAGCAACTGATCGATACCGCAGCTCCTGGAAAGTTTGTTAACGGGGAGGATGCAGGAGACTGTTACCTCAGGCTACTGTACACAAACACAGAAAGGTCAGCCGGAGCCACCGGATCGAACCGCAGAATCAGAACAGAGCAGAGCAGCCGGGCCGCTCCTCTGAACGTTGATGCTTCTCTTGTACGTCTGCGGCTGTGTGTCGGGGAGATTAGATGAATGAGGCAGAGATTCAATTATGTGCCGATTGAATGTGATTCATTAATCACAGAGGGGAGAACGTGGGCTTTAATTTCCACGCCTGGAGACGAGCGCGCTAATCGCTACCTGGAGTCGTTTGGAGTCGAGCTCTCCGGCGAAGGCGGCCTTAATGGGGGTGTTTTTAACGGATCCGCCACGGTAAATAACATCCTGCAGGCGTCGTAGCATGTTTTTATGGCAGCTCTCTCCTTCACTGCCCTCCTCCTGCTTCCTCCTCTCACAGAAGTTTGTGCAACAGGAGCATATATATATGAAAAAAAGAAGTTTCCCCAGTAAACAAGATAATGAGAGCATAAAACAAAATGATGATGCTGCTGCTTCTATTTCGCTCCCCCTCATCTTTCTCTCTGGTTCATTACTTTCCTAACTTCCTTCTGTTGCAGGTACTTCGTGTTGGATCCGGAGCTCGGCCAGCTGCAGTACTTCGTCAACGAGCAGGGGAAGAGCCAGAAACCTCGAGGCTCTCTGCCACTGATCGGAGCCTCGGTGACCACCAGCGACGAGGCGCCGCACATGTTCATCGTAAACTCTGTCAATGGAGAGCTGTACAAACTCAGAGGTACGACCTGGGGCTGCCCCTGCATGGCCAAACGCTGACAGGAGGGTGTTTTATGTTGGCTTCACATGGAGGGCAGCGAGCTATGGAGAGCATCTTAAATCAGGCTGCAGTGTTTTTCCTCTTCAAGCAGCTCCAGTTGTTGTTTTTTTTATTTGATCAAATGTTAAAGGTGATGAAACTGGTGGGTTTGAAAGTCGTGTTGTTTTTCATAAAATAGACAAAATTGCATCATTCATGAGAAACTGTAGAAACAGAGAATCGTTTGAATCACTTTATTCTACATTTCTTATTTAGTAATAAGCAGATCTTTTTGAAAATCTAAAAATTCTTCTTTCCTCGATGCAATCAGGAAGCCGTCAGTGACTCTGGTGAGGCTCGCAGTCATGTGAGTTTGTTTCTACACAAAGCAGGAAACAAGGTAGTCAAATATGTGGAGTCACCTGTAGGCACCTGAACAAATGTTTAACATGTTGATTCCAGGTTTTCGCAGTTTTTCTAATACAAGTGATCATCAAGGCTCGTTATG